CTAATCCTCATATCCTATCCTCATATACCTACTATAACCTAAAAGGACAACAACGCGTTATAAATCCTCCGTTGTTGCGAATTTCACATCTAGGCGACGCTGATTGCTTTCCATCAGGTATTCAGTCTGTTCGTTTGCCAATGTATTAAAAACACAAAACATCTTCTTTCACTGATACATTATTAAAATTTAGCTAAGTAGAATTGGGAAAAAAAATTTAGATTTTTTTTTTTTGTAGTAGGTAAATGATTTTTTTTTGAAATCTCAAGTTTAATATAGCCATGCTTCGACAAGGTCCTTTCGACCGGAGTAGTACCGCGACCTCACAGAAAAGCGGCGTGAAACAACAACAGCGTCGTTTTACGCCGCGTGACTGAGGTTACCGAAAGCTCAATTCATTCCCTCCCCCAATCCCCAAATCTCTAAATCCCTAATCCCCAAAAAGTCGGCAACGCACTCGTAATTCTTCCGTAGTTCCACACCATCAGGTAATCCGCCACACATTTGCCGTCCTATCACATTAAAAGCATTCGGACTCATTACCAATTAATTGGCAATAACTCTTTTACTTTTCACAATCGCTTTCCTTTACAATAGAACCACACTCTAACCGGTATCGATGTCACATTGTCAAGTGAAACTACATCATACTGTCGTGTTTACGCCCGGCATTAGATATCAACTCGCAGATAAACCATGGCACTGATGCTCAGTAAAGCAAAGTTTGCATTACATTGCTTTCTGACTGCGTTATAAAGAGAACTCCTGATATAAAAAGTACCAGGAGCCAGCAATGTACACAATATTTTTCCTGAAATTAAATACTTAAATCGTAAAATTCTTGTTACTGTTATCTATTATTTGCCAATTGATACCAAAGGCTCGTCATTTATTTGAAGGAATAGAAATCATCTTTACTCGTCCAGGATAGGTAGGTGAGATGGAGTACCTATCATACTTTTTTACTGACTAAAAATTCCCCCGTTCCTTCTTCTGCTCCAGATCAGGGCCGCGGCTTCGTATAGCGTTTGCCCCACAATTGTATCGTAATGCTACCATATGCACGTTTTTTCAGTTATGCTTTCAATTTTTAAACCAAACCGGAGCCTAGCTTGACATCACTTTATATTTTTTCTTTATACGGCTTTATTACAAAACAGTTTACATTTTTTCTTTAGTCTAAACCAATTTGCCAGTTTTTGTATTTCAAATTCATAGTAAGTAAGAATAAGATTCAAAATACAAAATCTTACTCATTGTTTTAAAACTACACTAAATATCAATCTTGTTTTGTAATCAGCGGGGTGTAATCAATGTTCACTCTTAAGTCGCACAGCATAAGTACTGAAATAGGAAATTCTTTTCGAAAGAAAAATAATAACAAAACTGTAACAGCAGAAAAAACCAAGTCAACACGATTCAAAAGCAACCACTGAGACTTTCCGCTCTCCGGCTCAGTTTGCAATCAAAGTCTACATATCCAGTAACACTGATAAGTACAAACTTCCTTAAAACCTTTGTTCGCTACACTCATGTACTCGTATCGTACTCTAACGACCCTCGTGTTTGCAGAATAAGTAACTACGTACTTGGAAACACAATAGTCAAAGCAAAATTCGTGTTATTCCTTTTATAAGACTGTTTTTGTTCAAAGATACGAATTTTTGTTGCAGGTTTAAAATTGTTTTTTGTACACTATATGCTGTGAACCTGTATTTTGGTTTTATTAAGGAAAATATTTCGGACACAAGTTTGAAATTATTTTCTACTATAGCTTTTGCCCGCCACTTCGTTCGCGTGGAATAGTGACTTCCTGCATATTTTTGGTTATACCCATATTGGGATAAAAACTATCTTATGTCCTTTCTCGAGTTTCAAACTATGTCTGTACCAAATTACACACAAATCGGATGAGTAGCTTCGGCGTGAAGAAAAGACAGACAGACAGACAGAGTTACTTTCGCAGTGATAATATTAATAGTTTAGATTTTCAAAGATCGGCAAGCTATGCTGCAAATTTGGACATTAAAAAAAAAAGCAAATCGTTAACACTTTTTCTAAAATAGAGAAGTTTATAGGATAATATATAAAAACACATGACAATCGAACAGAAACACCAAAACAAATCACCTATTCACATGCTTTATACAACAAAACAAGCCACGCTTAATCCACTGTTAGAAACTGCATTAATCCACTGTTTACTAACATCTTAACCCTAGGAAACTCTACTGCATTAATTCATTGGTATATCTTCATGTTTACACAGACCCCGTCACTAATTGCGGGTAGCATTGTGAATATTTGAACACCATCCGTCCTATGTAACTAAGAGATTAGCAAAAGGAGGTGTCCTTGATTATGTGTTCTCAGTGAACTTTTTGTTCAATACCACCCTGACCTCATTTCTGTTGGATTTGAATTTAAAATATCTAATCACCATTGTTATTTTTTGGGATTAGTTTTTTTTTACGAACAATTTTCGTAATTTTCGGAATGTAACCGAAGTAAAACGGGCGATATTTCTAACTCTACATATATTACTTGAATTAATTTTCAGAGTAAATTCGACTTGTTAAAGATGATTTACTTCAGTATACCTGCAAGTCAATTTAGAGTAAAATTAAGTCAAAATATTGTGCTAATTGGTTGTTACTAATTCAATCAAGCCACATAAATTGCTTCTGAGTCACAAAAGGTAATAATCATTTTATCACGCCACACACAGTCACGGAGATCCTAACACCTATCTACTAAACTATTTCTAGTCTGCATGTTATTCATACTAATATTTATTCAATAAATTCTTGAATGCAGGTCGATCAAGAAGAAGGCGATGCTGAGGGTTCAGGAAGGTATGGTACTATACCACCATTTCCCCCACCACCCCCTGGATTAGATGGAGGTAATTATAATTAGATATTTTTTTTTAATTATTTTTAAAGCAGGTTGGAAAAAATGAAATTATTAACGATAAAGCAGGGTTTCTTTCTTTAAGTTGACATATACTTTTTTTCTTTACGTTAATAGGTATATACTAAGTTTGCTTTTGAAAAAAATAAAATACTGATCAGATCAGAAATTGGTGTTATTCATTATATTTCTTTTTTCATTATTTCATAATAATGGACATAGAATTCAACTCTCGCTTATTCAAAACAGCCATAGTCTACTAGTCAATTAATTTTAGTCATTTTTGGGTATATGAAAATTGAATTATTATTTTTTATTTTATTTCAGGCTATTCATTACGACTGAAAGGCGAGAAAGGAGATCGTGGACCAAGGGCAAGAATATTTGATTATTTATTCTTCTATAATTAATTAAATACAATCGAAAAAATTCTAGCATAAATAAATAAAAATATATCTAAAACATTGTACCTACACGAACAGGAAACTGTTTCAAATATATAAAAAATAGTTATTGTAATATAAAATGAAAAATATTTTTTAAACATGTGTCTTATATATAATTTATAACAATTAATATATTACAATTTAATGGAAGAAAAAAAACACTTAATAATTTATTACCATCACTACAAATCACAAAAAATCAAGAAACTAGTAATTATATTTATTTTAAACAGTATAATAATATACTACCAACCACCACCTACATATTTCTATACGAAATAAATGTGAAAACGAATATGCTAAAACCATTAACATTTTTTGAACAATAGGCATATAGGCTTAAATTGCCATTAAAATTCCAAATGCTTTACAATATATCAATTTATTATATACAAATATGTGATCGTTAACACATAGGGCTGAATACAATAGGGAATTTTCTATTGTCTTTTAATTTATAGCCTTGTGTTATGCGAAACTGTGACCTATGTTAAGGCCAAAAATGTTTATTTACATTGTGTCGTAAACTAATTTATTGTGAGATTTATTTATAAGGTCTTTCAAGCTTTATATTTTGATCATTAAATTTCTTCACTGAGTAATAAATATCTTCAAAATATTAAATACTAGGTATATCTTGTCTGAACAAAATTTTAGGAAAGAAAAATGGTTTTAATGGATATTATTTTGTACACTTAATTGTATTTATATGTATAAAAAACTAGCGGCCCGCCCCCGCTTCGCACGGGTCCAACTATCTCGCTATCAAAGGGTCACTTTTTCTTTATCTTCCCCTCTACTTTTCTAATATTTACCCTTTCTAAGAATTAGCAAAATCGGTCCAGGCGTTGTTGAGTTATACTCTTACCAACACATTTTGCGATCCATTTTTATATATAAAGATATACCTATCGTAATACCGTCTCTTAAAAATTTAAAACAAACAAAAATCATGGAAAATTTAGTTCCTGTATCGAAATAAAGAGTGCGTCACGCTACCAAAACTAACTCTATACTTATATGATATAGGGTCATCACTTAGCACTTACACTATGTTTACAAATCGTCGTCACCCCATCTGAGTACGTTCTCGAAACTGTAACACACCCCTGACTTTCACGTTAAGCGGTGTATAAATATGTGATAATGGGGGAAATGAAATCGGGCGAAGAATTTTATGATTTGGTGGCAAAAATATGAACGTGTTTATATAACTGGAGGGAGGGTGTGACACAGGGTTTTGATGTCAAAGAACACAATGTTGGTTGTAATACTAAATTATTTTCTTGTTATTCTTTATGTCGATTGTTGATAGTGAGTTAGATTGTCTATGTCCAACTATATATTAAGTTTTAATTTTTGCAATTATAACTGCATAAAGTTCAAAAAAGTCATAATTACAAGTAGCTGAAATGTATACGTATGTTTAAATTAAGTAAATTCAACTACGAATTTAAATTTTTATATCTTTTTCTCCAACTAACTAAACGAAACATTTTAACACAAAATTACTTGTAGTGGAGCACTGTAGAAGAATGAATGGACATAATAGAGAAACGAACGAAAGATGTCGAGAACAAGAGGGTAAGCACATTGGTACGTTTTTAATTATATTAATCGAGTGTTCTATAATCACAGGGAGCCCCAGGAGAATCTATAAGAGGACCACCAGGTCCACCTGGACCACCTGGCCCTCCAGGAGTATCTGGCACTCCAGGAGTGGTGGCTGAAATAGCTGGCTCTGGAGATGATGTGAGTACCTATATTTAAGATTTTACTATCGACTGACTCTTTGTCTTATCATAAAGGAAAAGGCCTTAACTAAACACAGTAAAAAAAAAAATGCACGAGTAATTATTATTAGTTTTTTGGTAGCAATTTTCAAACATCAGGTTACAAAACTCTTATTAATTTTATTCGATGATCAAGTAAGACATCCACTTCTGATAAACAGCTAACAAAGATCTTTACAACACCATTCACACGTCAATTCCGAAGTTAAACAATATGCTATCTTATTACTCTATGGATAGAGTATCATTTAAAGGTTCGTTAACGTCCAATATGAGCAGGACAGCCCTGCCCATATCAAAGTCTAGACCGCAGATTTCTCATTTAGCCTGCGGACATCACCTGCCTCGCGCCATAAGCAAGCGTACCAGAAACTTGACTTTGGCCCAAGATATGAAAGGTTGCGATTGTAGATTGTTTTTTCTATACATTTCACTACTTTTTATAACATAATGAAGTCGGTAATTTTTTTATAAATTGAATATTATGTTTATCGGTATTCTACTTTAAAGCTTTAAAGGTTTCAGTTAGGCAATTGAGTTAGCTGCAAAAATTAAATTATTTAAATTCACATTTCATTGCATCAAAATCATAAACAACATAATACTTACAAGAACTCGATCCAATAAAACTTCCTATCTAATCCAAATAATATATTATACGCACCTACAACACGTTCTTATAAATTGTCTTTCACTAGGTCTCCACAAGAAACAACCTGATTGATTTATACCTCCACTTCCCAATAACTTCCAAAGTTGCTGCATATCATCCACCACACATGACTGGCAGAAAATGCTTCTAGCATGAAGTCCTTCGATATGAAATTGTTTATAAAGAATAAATAATAAAAATATAAACGATAAAGTGACAACCTCTAGCATCCGCCATCTTTCTTCTTTATTTCACACAAGAGCTAGCTTTTGTAACTTACACACCACTCACTATAAACATAATAGCGCTATCTCTGCTTATACGTCGATGGACACAATATGCATAGTTATATCTAAAATGAACTTGAATAGAGTATTGAAAACCAACTTTTTTACATTATTCCCGGTCATCTGAGATTCGAACTGGAAAAATGAATGCGGATTCTGTTTTGTCTTTTGTTACACTTTTTTCGTCCTGATAGTGTTTTGAAAATGGAAGTTATTTTTGTTCATTTACGCGTATGCGTAAGCGAAATGGGAAGTTAGGATTTATTTTGTATACTGTTTTTAGTTTGTGGATTTTTAGAATAATATTTCCATTGGTTTAGATATTCGGCGTTTTGGCTTTTTTATTTCGATGGTCAACTTCAAATAGAGATAGGCGAAATATTTTGTTTTTAGCTAACATAAAATTTATGGCATTTAACTTCAAACTCACTTGAAACATGAGAAAAACAAGTTAAACTGTTAACAGTGCTTCTAAGACAGACAGATTAAGTTAACATTTTTAATAAAATCGCGCTTAAATGAATACTATACGATTCTATACAATCATTTTCACAAAAAAAGTAGGAAAATAAAGAACTCCATTTCAAAATACATTTCTCCTAAAAAAAGTAGTGAACAATTGTATTACCTAACTGTCCTCGCTAGATTAGGGTATCTAACAACCCATCTCAACTGCCCAATTATATCCTTCTATCTAATAAAATAAGGTGTTCCTTAAAGACCTATAGTTTCTATGTACATTCAATATTGGTGACTAAATTGAAACATTCTGCCCGTTACAATCGTAACAAAGTTTATTATGCTCCTGGTGCCCGTCCTACATTCGATTTGACAATATCGATTCAATTGATTCGCTCTCCGAGAGGTTTTGAGTCGATTCGACGGTGTAACGAAGTTAACTAATCGAGTTCGCCTATCTCTATAGTCATTTATTTCTATTCTTTTAGTTTCTTGAGGACTAATTTCATTAGTTTTCTCAAGTGCCTTCAATGTCTGGCTTCTTCGTATTTCGTTTATTGTTACTTGACAATATCTATTTTATATTATACCCTTGGATACATGACGAAATAATTACAACATTTCGACAGTTGATTTTCGTTTCGTGAAGTCGAATCTTTGCACAAATCAAACCGTAGAATAAAAAAATAAACTATTCTGATTTTGAATAGTAACTAAAGTGAGACATACAAAAACTTTGAAAATAACTTACTTATGTGAAATAAATGAGAAAAGCTCTACTAGTTTCAAGTTAGAACGGGACTCTTATTCATGCTGCGTGACGTGAATAAGTCGTTATTTTCAACAAACAAACTATGCTATAAGCTAAATACTTAAAATTTACAATTTCTAATTATTAAATTGTAATTAACATAACACTCATATTTTTTGTATACTGTAGCTACACGTCAATTATTCTTTAGTAACGCCTATCTATCTCCAATTTTTTTTCAAATAATTTAAATAAATTTAGTCACATTATTGTGTAAGTATATTATTTATTTAAATATATTTTTTTTTTTTGCTGCATTACGTCTACACAGAGGAGTTCAGTAAAGGTCAGTATATATTTTCTTTTCTTACATTTATTTATTTCATATGCATACCTTGTGTATTACCGACGCAATAAGACTTCTATAAAAAAAAAGATTTTGACTTGGTACAACCTCGTGACACTACATTCAAATGTCATCTAATCATCTTACCCAACATTTAATAAAATTAAATGTACCTACAAAACAAACTAGCCAGTAATATCGTCTCTATAATATGATAATGTTTCCGGCCAAGTGTATTTTGCATAATGAGAGATAATGCTTGACAACCCTAACGAGGCCCGGATCTTTTACAAACCTGAACACACCAACTTTAGGAGCAAACAACACAATGGGCGAGGGTTGCTACTCGATAAAAATAATCACGCCTATTCTGTTCGCATTACGCTGGGTCGTTAGCCGGCGTACATGGCACTATTAAGTGTAAACATAGCTACAGCTATAGTAAATACAACTAATTCAATTCGATCCACATTCGTAAACTGCAGAATTTGGCAAAATGCCCCGTTTGGCTGACCACCACATTTGGGAACCGCATTAGGGTCTCCCTTGATCAATACGATACCATTTTGCTAATCGTTATTTCGTTAATGTTTGCCAAATAGTTGACAATATGTGTTTCGCTTTGTTTATTTTACACTTACAGATGAATTTTATGCCCTATAATATGATGCTTAGCTGGTTTGGACATTTATTAAAATCGTGTATAAAACTCATATTAAAAGCGACGAGCCGTATAAAATCAAGACTCAATCTTGATACTTTGTGCTATATCTTGAAGTGAAGTCCCTTCAACGCCACTGCTTGTCCCTAAAATATTTCTATATTATAGTAACCAACTTTGATAAAATTGGAACAGACGATTTTCGCTTGATTTGCCTTACTTCACTATCAACTCTCAATTTCCTTTAAGGGTTCAATAAATCTTAGGATACTTCCGCACAGTCAGTTGAATTTTGAAGTGCGTATTAACCAAGTATCGTTTTCATCAGCAGCAGATATTTGGAGAGAACTACGCTTCGCTTGGTCAATGTGGCTGCAACTCAAGTACTATCCTAGCTCTCTTGCAAACTGCTCCAGAGCTCAAAGGTCCACCTGGACCACCGGGAATAACAGGCGCCGATGGACGAACTGGTGCTCCTGGATTACCTGTAAGTATACTTAAAGAAACATTAAACTAATATTCCTTTGATAAAATTAAATAAAAAAAAATTGCAATCTAAAATTTAAGATTCTAAAATTTAATACTCAAAATCTTCCACAAAGTTTTAGCCTAAGGTAAGATAAGAAAAGATAAAATTATCTAAATCTAGGCTGGTAGATGATATTATAAAATCACTGATCTAGAAAATTAACTAGTCAAAATTAGGTTTACATTATCAAAAGTTTTAGAACGTTGTCTCTAGAATCGATTTTTTGTTTTACAGTCTTTTTTTAATCCACAATAATAACCTTTGTCAATATATACAACATTTTCAACTCACAGGGTCAACCAGGAACTCCAGGTGAACGTGGTCCAATTGGTCCTCGAGGTGACAAAGGTGATAGGGGTGATGTTGGTCCTAGGGGACCAGAAGGACCAGCTGGTGCTAAAGGAGAAGCTGGAGTAGATGGAAGACCAGGTATCGCTGGTCCACCCGGTCCGCCTGGACCTCCAGGAACCTCAGATTATAGTAATTTTGATGTGAGTACAAGTTTTTGCTTTAGAAGACTTGAGCTTTGTATTGTTATACTAGTTCCGCTTAAAAAAGTATATACTACGTTATTTTGCCTTTAGAGTCAGTAAAATAGTAAGTTAATAGGATACTTATAAATTATATTAATTTGAAATGCCATGTTAACGTAACATAGAAGTGATGAAATCAATTGTAATAGTAAAGTAATACATTTATAAGCCAAAACTAATTATAGTTTCAATATCTAAATATTTATAATCGTTCTATCGCAGATCGGTAGATTCATTGCCTAAGTTCTAATGCCAGTGTCGTTTTTATCATTTTCATGCTAACCATTTCTATTATTTAGTCAAATTGGAAACCTAGACAAATATACAAGGTGAGTTTTTAGGAAACATTAAGTACATAAGGTATTCATAATTTAGTCACGGCTGGTTTGAATAACATTTTCTTGATACATTTGGCTACTGAAGTAAGAATTTAATATAAGCTCTTTAAAAACCTATCAATATTTTATATCTACTAGCCAAATGTACCGATTGATAAGCTATTATAATTTTTGCTTTTCTAAGCAACAAAATGCGTTCCTCAAAAAAAAAAACTTTCGTATTACTTGGCGTTCCTAGTGGTATTTGGCTTCTATAAAAAAACTAAGCGCGAGTGAGGTAAACCACGGATTTTTTTTGTATTCAATGTATTTGTACTTCGATAGTGCGGTATTTTTGCTGCCCGCAACTTACGACTGGGTATTATCGAAGTATTGCTGCGACTTCAACTTTTTTTTTCAATCTGGATACAAAATCTTTTGTTTATTTATTTGGTGTCAAATCAGAACACAGTATTATCTTTGTGTTATTTTACTTCATATCAGGTTATAAAATTATCCATAACCAAACAGTAGAATACCTACCTGTAGGTTTTGACAAAACGGTATAAGCGTTTGTCCTAAGTCACATATAATACCCCTAAAATATGCAGTGAAACTGTCAGATAAGCTAACATTTTCTACAAAAAGAATCGATCTTCGGTTCCCGATTACCTTCATTGTCAAGTCACTTTGTTTGTGACTGAAACGAATTGGTTTTTGGAGGCAACGATTGAGCCCGCTTAGCAAACAAACCACTCCGTATAACTTGGCCAGAAGTGTGAAAGTAGCTTGTTCCCCTTGATTTATACCGACGACAGGCGCAGATAAGAGAATTTATTTGAAAACCTCTCCCGAACTTTGTCATGTGTATCGTTCATATGAAAAATAATTTGAATCTTCCTGGTTTCTTTGTTGGGAGTTCTTTTTGTGGTTTTGTTTGTTTATCTGAATGCGTTTTGTATAAGCCGACTGACAACTGACAACTCGTCCCGATCAGTCGCAGAAGTTTTTGTTGGGATGTATGCTGCAGTAGATTCGCTATAATAAATTGTCTTGGCACATAACTGACGATCACTTTGTTCGTTTTTAATTCTTTGTCAGATACAACGAAAACAAAATTCGACTGCCGTATCGTCCCATATTTTGGATCTGTTTAATCCCAATCAAATAGATTTTATTTTCATTCTAGTTATAAAATACGAAATCTGGATACTCAGTAGGTCTTGCTTTTAAATAAAACGAGCATAAAACTTATCCTCCAAATAAACTCTTTTAAACTGTTTGTCAATTATATAGTTTATATATCTATAAGATGCAAACAATGAACGGAACTCTAAAATGAACAAAAACCGAACATGATTTTAACTTACTTTTGCTAACTTTGGTATAAAATTAAGATCATTATATAATTCATTAATTATACACACAACAGGAGTCACTTCTCGGATCTTATGGAGGAGCGATTGGAAGACCAGGAGCGCCTGGTCCTAAGGGCGATGCAGGTCAACCGGGACCAATAGGACCACAAGGCGAACGAGGATTCCCAGGTCAAAAAGGAGAGAGAGGTCAGCCTGGTATGGGAGGAAGCAAGGGAGATAGGGTAAGAGACAATTTTAAAATATTTCTTAGCTAATAGAAAGAAATTTAAGACTTTATTTAGTTTTTATGCAAGTTTCTAGTTGATTAAGTGCGGTATGTTATTATGGTAGACATGGTCTGATTTGCATAAACATTCATCTGCATATCTGTCAAATCTTTGTTTTAGAGATAATAAATTAGAGATACGAATAAGGTTTTTTGGTAAAAAGTGTTATTTTAAATCCTATGTTATAATGTATACAGGGTTATCCGGGACCTCAAGGAGAACGAGGGTATAAAGGTGATCGTGGAGGCCCAGGGTTGGATGGAAGACCAGGCATACCAGGTGCCAGTGGTAGACCAGCTGATAAGGGAGAAAAAGGTAAATTCATATTTCAAGGAGCAGTTCAAATAATCATATAGAAATTTAAAACTAATTTTGTTTTTCGTAAAAGGACAAAGAATATCTACTTTTATCTAAGACTTCTCAGTATTGAAACGAAATAAAAATTTTAGTAGCTTTTGTAAAAACCTTATCATTTTTAATAGCTTACTATAGTAATCTCGTTACTTGATAAAAAAAGATTCCAAAATCGATCAAAATCATCATCATCATCATCATCATCATCATTTTAGTCAATACATTTTTTCTAGCGACCACCCCTTTTATTGCTTAAAACCTAACAACAACTCTTTATTGTTTCCTTCCAAAACTAATACCTACATATTTCGACTAATTTCTTAACAACAGGTGAACGCGGTGAACCGGGACCACCAGGTCCACCGGCACTTGGAATGTACAGTCCTGAAGATGCAGAATTCCTCACGACTGGTATGAAAGAATAAAATACTTTAAGAGTAAAACAGTGTTAAACCAATCCTTATTAAGATTTTAGTAGCCATGTTTTCTTAATGAAATGTGTGAAAACTAACAACGAATTTATTAGATATACTTAACAAGATCAATTAGTAAGACTTAAGTGCTATGTGTTAAATCCACAAGCAAATAATAATATAATTAACACTCAAACATAAAAATGTAAAAACGAACGTACGAACGTAAAAGCACACACACCTCTTTGTAACACTTCACATGCATAATCTATTTGAATTTGTTTACTTCGCCACAAAGAACTGTGAAAAACTTCGTATGTTTACAAACAAATAGAAATTCATATTTAATTTTATAGGACAAAGGCAGGCTGTGGTTGGCTCGAAAGGAGACAAAGGTGAAAAGGTGAGGCTTTGAATTTATTATTCAAACACCAATTAGGGAGGGGTGAATTCGTGAATGTTCAAGCATCCCTCAATCTTGAATTCATTGATGGTATTATTATGAGATGTGAGGTGACTTTTAATTGGATGAAAAGTTTTCCAGGCCTATCATTGATGTCGATAGGCTTACAATGTTGCTGTACAATGTTTTATTTTAATTATGGAATTGGAATTCATATGTTAATTAATGTTTAATAATTGGAACACGCAAATTTTGAATCGGATGTGGTGAAATTGTTTATATAAAGCGGTTTTATCACAATATTATCTATCGAAATACACGTTAGTCATATATTTCATTTGCAAGCTGACATATTTTATAATTCCTACTTAGTTTGATATGAAATTCCAATTTATTGTAAACAACGAAAGCATTATAACCTGTGTTCTATTGGTCCTTGTGACAGGGAGAAAAAGGAGGTCGAGGCAATGACGGGCCCCCTGGTTTCCCAGGCAAAGATGGTAGGGACGGTGATCGAGGGGACATTGGTCCCTCAGGCATGCCTGGTATCTCAGGACCACCTGGTCCTCCTGGATTAAAAGGAGAGAGAGGAGAAAGAGGACCACCTGGACCTATCAGCGTTACAATGGCTGGATCTGATATTGTTACTATTAAGGTAAGGCTTCCGGTGTGATATTTTTGAGGTCTTGCCTCATATTTGTACCAAGTATATTTAAACTCGTGCTTAAAATATCAAAGATGTTTTGTGTTATTTTCTATAAAGAGTTTACTATAATTTGCTATGATGAATAAATTTGTTGTATTACTAAAATGCTTTGGCATAAATTTGAATAAAGAATAAAAAAAAAAACAAATTTGCTAATTCATTTAACAAAAATTATATCAAAATAATTTCGCAAGAATTCATCCACATAATCGTTCATTAGACTTCTAAAATATTCAAGGTCATAGCTAATTAGGCATATAATATCCTAGTACGCACAAAGATTAATATACTTGGTAACAATTACATACTATGGAAACATGATACATAATTTACAAAATGCTGTGATTAGACAAGAAATGAAAAAATAAAGATAAATACGGATAATGAGTTAGATAATAAGTAAATAATTGATAACAGGGTGACAAAGGTGACGCTGGTTTACGAGGAAGGAGAGGTAGACCTGGTCCAAGCGGTCCCAAAGGTAGTGCTGGAACACCTGGTCCACCTGGACCACCTGGAAGACCTGGTGATAAGGGAGACATAGGGCTACCAGGATGGATTGTAAGTAATGATACAAAAACAACCTTTGTAAATAATAAAAATCACGCAATTTACTGATTAACATTTATTTCTTTTTCTTGCTGCTTAGAATGCAAAGGTAAAGAAACTTATATAAGAATTGTACCTTGTAGAATATCCATCAGGAGGTATACATATATGTGATATTTAGTACTTCATACTTTTATATAAGGGCGTTTATGTTTTTTCAACACGATAATAACTTGCAGGGTCGTCCAGGCACATTAGGACCACCTGGGCAGCCAGGACCTGTTGGACCCAAAGGTGAAAAGGGTGATCCAGGTGTAAACATCCTAGATGTATCAATGGTAAGTATTCAACCCAAATAAAAATCAACATACCAGCCATTATTATGTCTTTAATAAATAATTTAGATACTAATCAAGTAAAAACTAGTAGGTAATAATGACATAAATTTCTAGCAAGGTCATGTTACATGTACAATTTGAGTTCCAGTTGATGAACTCAGTTAATCTTTATTTTTATCACAATAAAACTTACTATTGAGCAAAAAAATTCAATGCTCCTTCTGTAAAACAGCATAGACGTTAGAATAAAAAAGTCAGTCTATATTAAAACAGTAGCAAAATTTCATTATCACTTCACTCGTCTCCTTATTTTAAGAGGTAGACCTCCAACAAAACCTTCTGAGACAATACCAGCGGGATCAGGCAATGGTTCCTGGCGACTGCAAGCTGCTGGTTCTACAGAGTACTTCTGTAGAACTGCTGCAAGACCAGCCATTGACTGCATCTGACCTAACCTGGCACCTGGAAAAAACAATGCAATCTTTATAGAATACAATAATTTTGTTTTTATAGGCTGTGTTCATAAAAGAAAATTAAATATGTTTGCTAAATCATCGTTATTATGTTATATATGTATATTTAGGGCGTTATATGTATAGTTATGTAGATAATACAAAAAACGGATTAGTAATAAGTCATGCATTTTAGATTTGCATGTACAATGCGTCATGGCTGATATGCCCCGCGACGTAGGCAAACGTGTAAATATTGTTAATCGGTGTAATTTTGTCCACGATACTTTATCAGTTATTTATTATATAGGGACTAAGACATGCTTAGTTATCGAATAAAGTCAAACATACGGGGACTTAGTTATAGCAGTGAGTTTCTATTTTTATAGGCACTTCGAACATAAATAAATAGATTGAAGACCAATAAAAATAAAAATATGTTAAGATTTGTTTTAAAATAAAACTGATATATTCATTTAAATTCATAAAACGTATGTTATATATATGGAGTTTCTTAAAATTTACTTAGCATTTGCACCTACATAATTATTATCGTACGTAATATTTGGCTTCCATTTCTTCTAAACTAAAGGCGAGAACTCCGTAATGAATATATTCGAACGATATAAAGTTTTAAATAAAGCACTTACCAACACAGGATCGTGGACCTTCTCCAAAAGGCAAGTACACGAAGTTTTTGATATCTTCCTTTGTACCGTCACTAAACCTCTCAGGGTCAAACTTGTTTGGATCTCTGAAGTACTTCTCGTCTCTGTGGATAGCTTGTATAGGTATCAACACTTTAAGGCCGTCATCGATCGTCAAATCAATTTCTGGGAATGTATATTTAGGAACACAGCACTGTCGAATCAAGTATCCAACGGATGGATACATCCTCATGGACTCGTAAAATGCCATTTCCAAATATTTCATCTCTTTGATAGCATCGTAGGTCAGTTTGTTGTTATGTTTGGCTAACACAGTGTCCACTTCTTCTTGTACCTTTTTCTGATATTCTGGATGGAACGCTAACTGATGTAGGGTGTAACTTGAGGCAGTAGACGACGTTTCGAAACCAGCCCCAAAGAAAACAAACGCTTGAGCTGTCATAAGTAAATCGTCCATTTCCAAATCCACTATTTTTGGAGTTCCATCAGGATTTTTGTGTTCTATAGACTCTCCAATTATCTTTCCTTTTTCTCTAAGCTCTAACATTAGATCAATGAAATCGTTTCTACCAGATGGCTTGTAATTTCTGTTCTTAAGTACAGTTTGTACTAAATGTTTCATGTTAATTTCTAATTCGGGTGCTAGAAAATGCATATGCTTGAACAATTCTGGGAACATAATCTTCAGGGCACCGGCAACTGCATCTCTGAATCTTCTTTCGAAAATTCTTTTACCTAACTTTCTGAAATGAGAGTTTTCATCACTTAACGAGTCCATATCGATTCCGAATGCGCAGACACCGATGAAATCCGTGGTGTATCTTGCCATTAATTCTCTAACATCATAATATTCCCTGTCAACGACCTCTTCTGTAATCACCTGCAATTTCTCTGCTCTGTCTGTGATAATATGGAACATAGCCTTCAACTTGCCGGTACTGAAAGCAGGAGTAAACCTCTGTCGTATCAAGCGCCATAAGTCACCGTCAGCAAAGAAAATATTCCTTAACAGGGGCTCCACACATGTCTTGTGGTAAGTGAGGCCTCTTGAGTGGAAACATTGGAAGTCTGTCGTAAGGATCCTTTTGATAATTTCAGGATCTCTTATCACTAATTCTGGATCAGTACCTCTGTAGAAACCGACTACTTTTTCCTCAGGATATTTTTTATACATTTCAGTAGCCATCATACACATGCTGGCCTTTTGCATGAACTGTTTCAAGTTCGTTCCAAAAATAGGCACTGGTTTATCATGTTTAATACCTCTTGACTTCCAGTAGTTAAATGTCCGCGTTCCGTAGAAGTAAAGTGCAACTAAACCAATTATCACTAGTATGAGGAACATTTTATTTGGTTCGATTACATACACGGGTATAATGTTCACACTATCCGCGGCCCACGAGTAAACTACTGCCGAATTGACCGAGCATGCGTATTTAAAGATATCTATAAAAGCGAACGCGTTAAGCATCTGTATTCGAGTTATCTTTTTGTTTATCTACTCAAAAAATGTTTAATCATACCAACTGATTATTTCGACCGAAGTACGTATTTAATCTATTGCGAACGACTCCAGCGTTTTGTTTTGATTTGTTTTACTTAAAATTTAATTAATATTATATTTTACCTCTGGTCTTTAAATTTTCATTATTATTACATATTTTTATTAACAAAAACAATTTGATCTAAAACACACAAAAATGCGATAGATTTTGACAATGACTTGTGTTAAAAATCGAATCAAGGTCATAACGTTACCTTTGTACCTTATGTGGTGTATTACGAATATTTTTTTGGTCCAAAACTAATAGTCTGCGTCTAAAACCGGAATAACATGTTCGTAAAATTTCTGTTTAGTATTTATTTTTGGCTTTTGATGTTTAAAAATAATTGCTATTAGTTTTTATAACTCAGTATAGTATCGAATGTGCAACAAAAAATGATTGCATAATATATAGATGGTCATGTTAAGCAATAAAATAATAATCAAGTACTCATTCTGTTACCCTAACACTTTAAAAAACTCAAGAGAAGAATATCTAAATTCATCATCATCATCATCATCATCAGCCTGTTGTCGTCCCCTGCTGGACATAGGCCTCCCCAATTGCACGCTACTGAGCTCGATGTTCAGCTCTTCTTATCCAACCACTGCTAGCCACCTAGATTCATGATTGTTAGAATAAAGGTACGGGGGCAGCTATGCATGTAAAAAAAAAAAATTATGTGATGTTGCGACAAACGAGCAGACGGATTACCTGATGGTAAGCAACCGTTTTGAGAAATGAGTAATTATTTCTTTAGATCTTTGTTTTAATGTCATAAAGTTATCTTGTTCATTAAGTAATGTCGATAATAAATATAACATCGTTACAAAAAATACAAACATATTGATATTGTACCTATAACAACAAATGTAGCAATGTATTGTGTCACATTGAGCTTCATACCTATTTTATCGGTTCTATTTTTAAATGCGTGCATAAGTACCTAATTTAACAAGTGTTCTTCTTTGAGGAAAATTAATAATAGCATGCCAATTACATATGAATTCAGTTTTAAATAGACAAGCGAAAATTAAAAAATAACTTAATAACATTATATTAAATACCCTTTTTTTGAGCTACGAAAAATTGCCAACTCATAGTTTACTTGATCTGAGAATCCAGTCTGAAATTTGACTTTCGAAATATTGTAACTAAGTTTATATAACTATCAAGCAAAAATATATATTAATGGTTCAAACATTTTTAAATGAAATCCTTTTTATTATAACTATACTATACTCTTTTTATAACTAACCTAACCTTGAGGATACAAGTTTTCAAATGCAAAAATACTAGTAATATTTAAATTTGTTTTATATTTTAACTAGCAATTCTTGCGCATTTGATTATAGGGTAATGATTTATAGCCTATAGCCCTCAGGAACATTGTAGCTATCTATAAGTGAAAGAATTTTGGCAATCCGACCAGCGATTCCAGAGATTACCCCTACATATAAACTTTACCTCTTTATAACATCAGTATAGATGACATTCGAATTTTGAATTTAGATTGATACTATACCATATTTTATACATTTTAAAGTGCGTTAGAAAAAAAAACTCACTCTTGCCTCACACAGGTGTTTCTCCTGTGTCGTAGTTGCGTTTACAAACATACACACACACATTAATAACGGATTGCGTTTTTTATTATTTTAATGTTTCTTTTATAGCTATTTTTATCTTAGAGTTGAATTTAAATGGTTTTGTCTGACGTAAAGTAACTACAAGTCTTTTGTCCGTTAATTTTTTTGGCTACACTAGATTTCCTGTTTTATTTTTAGTCAGCCAACCACTTTCAATTTCTCGACTGCTGACATTTTTAAAATATTTAAAGGTTTTGAAATCATTGAAGGACATTAACGTATCAAGTTATTTTAATGGCATATGAGAACGAGCAGACAGCGTTAACCTGATCGTAAGCCATGAACTAGGAGCTAAGAGTGTGTAGGCCTGTAAGATATGGAAAAACTTGGGCATTTGAAGATCCTTCATGTGGGGTAATAAAATTTCAATACGATGTAAAATACATTCTGGCATATGACTTCCAGCGCATGATTTATAAAATTAATGAAAATTGTTTTATATATTCATATTCATATAAATTATAATTTAAAATAATTTTTCATATCACGTTTAAGACAGATAGGTACATTCATAAAAACAATATCATCTCCATTTTCAAATTAATTAAAAATAAAAAGAGTATTTTTAAACGTGACATTTTCAATACTGGTTCCGCACCTACATTTGAACCGCTAAATCTTTCAGCAAACTGAAAAAGGTTCGTGTTGACTGATTTGAAATTCAGTACAAGTCCGTTACGGGGCTGTTATGTAAATATAATCACATACAAGAGGACAGACGGGCTTAACGAACCCACTGGGGCACACAGAGATCCAAAAAAGAATAGCAAATAACAAAATGAGTGATTTAAAAAAAATAATGAGGCAAAGACGTGGTTTCCTTTTTCAATTTTTTTAGTCCTGCACTATGATTTCACCTATATCATGGATGCATTTAGAAACATCACACTCAGACAAGGATTAAAAAAAATTGGATCACACAAAGAATGTGAAGTGTGTGTGTGTGTGTTTGTGTGTTCCGTGCGAGCATGCAATACATCATCATCATCGTCATCATCATCATCATCAGCCTATAAGTGCCCACTATTGAGCAAAGGCCTCTTCTCATACGGAGAAGGTTAGAGCATTAATCACCACGCTTGCTCAATGCGGGTTGGCCATTTCACAATTATAATTAGAAATTATAAGTCCAGGTTTCCTCACGATTTTTACTGTATGTCAGTGGTGTCTAAATAATCATAGAAAGTACATATAACTCGGAAAAAGTCACATTGGTACTTGCCAGGTTTCGAAACCACACTCTAAGCGGGCTTCTTAACCTCCGGGCCACCACGACATTACACTTACATTAACACATCATCAACTATACTTAATTTAGTAATCATACATTAAATTTGGTTTTTCGTTCGGATTGGATAAAAGGGAGTGTTAGACTCTTATTGACTAAAAACCAGCCCGTTCCTTCTCCTGTTTCCAACCGGGGTGCTGTACATCACTGCTTTTAACAAAAAACTTTCCCATTAAGAGATTAAAAAAAAATAAACAACACGCCATTGTTTTTAAAAAGAAAAGCCTTTTTACGCATAAAAAGGTATTTTTTCCTGTGACCCTCCACCTCTTTATAGCGAAATTATCCCGACGGGAAACACCATAAAACAAAGTTCCCATCCCGTAGCGCCGTAAACTGAGATTTTCTGTGTCATCCTAAAGCTTACAACTTTGGAGTTTTATAGAACTTGCTTTGCCATGTTTATGCATTTATTTATTTTGACCTATGAATTATACAAGACCTTAAGATTGACTGCCTCGTTGGTTTTCACAACGATGTCTTGGATACCATACCGAGTTATGTAAACTGTTGTGCTTCTCGATTCGGATTAGTTAAGCATTATTTCTTATACTAATAATATAAATGCGAAAGTTACGATGTTCGGATGTTTGTTACTCAATCACGCCAAAACGGCTGGACGGATCTGGTTGAAATTTGCCACAGGCATAGGATACATTCCGGAATAGAACATAGGCTTTTTATCCCGGAAAGAGTAACCCACGCGGGCGAAGCCGCTGGCAAAAGTTAGTAAATAATAAATAGTCAATACAACACTAATTAATTATAATTGCAAATAATGGTGTGAAAATCTGCTGCGTAACTACATAACATATTATTTAATATTTATCAATCAATTAAGTAATATTTTTTTTAATCGGCTGTCACTACAAATAAATGCTTTTCATTGCATTTTAATTATAAATATAACATAATATTACCAAAATATAATAATAAAAAATAGTATATTAAGGTATGTAGACGTAGTGTGAGACAAGACGTTTAAAAAAAACAAATAAACGGTAATAACGATATTTAACTCGACCTCTTTCTCTTCTCCTCCTTCAGTTAGTAACCAAAGCGATGTTCTGTTACGTTTCTACAAATATAACGTCTTATGAATTATACAAAACTGACGTGACGTGAAGATTCGTGTATGGAATACTTAAACGCAATTTTTTCCTTATACATTTTCCTGGTCTTTTAAGGTTTGGCGGTTTGACGAGCGCTCTGAGTTGTCACATTTTGGGGCTCATAAAAATATATTGCCAGCTCAATGTAATCATGACTTTTAAGTTACATGTTCCTAAATCTAAATTAACCAAATATTCCTATTATTAATGTATTGAATGTATGTCTCAATATAAAAATGTATTCCATAAATGTTGAACTTTCATTATTAGTTTTTGTAAATTACTTACATTGTGTACAATATTTATTGCTGGCTATCAATTACACAACTTTCATATATAAATAAAAATTAATAGATTACACAAATTTCTTAACTAGATCTGATTTCGGACAAAGAATGCACAAATTGAATACTTTACAGAAGTCAGGACAGTGGTTAAGATCATTTTATTTTTTTCAGTATTATTCTATTCCTATGATTAATAAAAATGGTTTTCTCAGTTCAAAGGTGAAAAAGGCGAGCGTGGCTTCGATGGACTCCCAGGTCTACCTGGCGTTCCTGGTCCAGCGGGACCACCCGGTCCATCTGGATCTCTTTCAGAGGCTATCCAGTACTTGCCAGGACCGCCTGGACCTCCAGGACCACCCGGACCTCCGGGCCCACCAGGAGTGTCCATAGTTGGACCTAAAGGAGAACCAGGATTCACACACTATGAAGAACATCCTGTTCATGGAAATACCAAATTCTATGGTAGACCGAGTAAGTTTATTATTCCTAGTATTGTTCTTATATTTTTTCTAACTGATTGATTCGTGTGCTCTTATATTCGATGATAAAAAAGATTTAAATTTAAAACTCACAATACATACCTACATTAAAAAACTTCAAGGTCGTTACGTATTTTTGCATTCGCTAATTAGGACGCAATTGCATTATTTCCATATTTTAATAATAATTACCTATTAATTTAACATCTATGTTTGTTCACGCTGCTCTGAAAGTGTCGAAAAGTCCCCTTGACGAGCTCAAGGCTCTTAAGGAACTGAAAGACCTAAAGGATAGAGACAGGGACAGGGATAGACATGGTAAGTAAAACAACAATGAAACCTAGGCGTAAAGATATATTAGTGCTCGGGTGTGTTAGAATTTGTGGTCCTAAGATTGTAATAGGACCATTATCGCCGTATCTTAGGACCAAATTCCTAATACACCTATCTAAATATTAAGGTTACTTATGTGACATGTTATCTCTCATCTATTAATTAATAGCTCAAGATCCATTCGAGTATATTATGAGTATTATGAGGCTGATTATATACAACAGTATTTAATACATGCAACGCGAGAAATTTCACTATAATTGAATATTGTGTTATTGACAGATAAAATAATTTTATAGCAATTTTAAGTCGATTATCTTGTCTCATTAGGCAAATCCGTTTTTATCAAATTCCTGATAGTGATATCTAAACGAATTGACGTATGTACATAGATATAGCATAATAGTTGAGTACATATATAACAGAAGTAAAACCGTAATAAAATAAATCTTCGTGATGCATAAGTAATATTCTCTTGTTACTACCTGTAGGCACTTATATACATTCCAGCCGAGGTTGCAGGTGCTAGCGTAATAAGGTGCCAGGGCCTCGGCCCAGTAGTAGAATGAATAGTGTGGTTTTTAGTCAATAAGAGTTTAACACTCCCTCTCGTCCCACAAAAAACGGGAATCAGAATTTTCCCCCCTAAACAAAAAGGCCATGCTATTGTAGGTACGCCCAGTCTGTTCAATTACTTAGTATGCAGCTTAAAAATAAATAATAATAATTCAATGCAGATACAGTTGAAGAAACAGAAAAAAGTCCCTAAATTGGAACAAATCTCAGATGAAAAAGGAGGATCCTCCAACCTGGCGAGGTGATGATGTTACTTCACTGACACGATGTCAGATTTGTGACGTCATTAGTTGATTTATCATAATTATGACAGGTGTCAAATGTTTTATGTATATGCCCAGAATAATAACTATTAAGTGCAAGGTCAACGAAAGGTTAACAAAATAATTAAATACCTCTCTCACTCACTGCTTTTGTTTAACTGAATGTTAAGAAACCATGCAGACTGTAAAATACATATACATTTACGAAGCAATAATATCTCTAGATTTTTTTTACTTACAAAGCTATTTTTAGATTGTACTTATTTCTGTAACTTAAGCTAAATCAATTGGAAGATTTACAATTGAAAAAATTTACTATTGAATTATCATTTCTTTGTACTAAGTAAATGGTATATTACAGGACCAGTCCAATCACACCCTGCTGTCCATCACACAGAAGATTCCAACAAGTCAGTCCCAGGTGCAGCAGTGTTCCAAACTACGGAGGAAATGTTAAAGGTAACATTTATGCATAAAATGAATATTAAAAATATTTTCGTCTGATTATAGATACAAATTTTTCAAGAGTAATTAGGTATTTATGAAAAAATGCCTTAAAATCCTCTTGAAACTTTGACCAAGAAATAGAAACGTATTTAAGTACATTTCTTTTAAGAATGTTATTTAATTTTAATTCATAAGATGCACAATTGTCATTTTGCCACTGTCATATTAATACATACTTAATGCTTACATGTATTTTACCTTATATTGATTTTCTAGATAACTTGCCTCAATAAGATATCACCTCATGTGTTATTTTGAATTAACTAAACACCCTGTAAGTTCATCTACAGGACATTGCTTAGAAAATATAATAACTAAAATAAAAAAAAGAATCACAGTAAATTAAATACAAACATAGGATGTTCTAAAAAAAAACATTACAATTACAAACTTTCCAATTTACTAACCTAACAAAATGTCCACAGCTCGCCTCATCGAGTGCTGTCGGTGCTCTGGCTTACGTTGTCGAAGAGCAAGCTTTGTTTGTCAAAGTTAATTCCGGATGGCAATACGTACTGGTGAGTTTTGTCCAAACAACTGCATAAGCTCCGAATTCTGACAAATTGAATGGCAGGATAGATTTCATTGACAATTTGAATGGATAGACCAAATCAATCTCGTGTCTATTAAGATTATTCATGTTGGAGAGACGAATGTTATTCGATATATGGAAATTGTTTATAAGAGAAGGTGAAAAGTTTGAAGTTTCACATACAAAAAAATACCGTAGTCTTAACATTTATTTCCTTTATTACTTTGTAAGGTGCTGGTGATTTCGGCACTAATAGTAGAGATAGACCCTTAACTACGGCAAAACTGAAACCTATTTTTCTCCTATAGCTTGGGTCTTTAGTGACACAGTCTGCGCCCACGCATCCGACGCCTGCGCCCGCTCCACCACCACCAATGCCTGCCGCGAGTTTGGTGCACAAGCCATCAATATCTAATCTCGTTGAAAGTTCACCTGTACCTGGTCCTAGCGTAAGTTGCTCAAGATAGTGTTCTACAATAATATAATATTAGAATATAATACAATATTAAATATTTAAGAAGGAATAGTTATAATTGTTGTCGTTTAGTTTTTAGGTAATTGTAATATTCTTCGTGAAGCAATCAGTATGTACCTTAAACTATCAACTGAAAGTTGATTATGTTTAAACATTGTGTAGGAGGTCTTTCGCCCAATATTGAGTTAATAGCTTAATTTTGTTATCAGCTTCACTTGGCGGCGCTTAACGAGCCGTTGCCAGGCAACATGCATGGTATACGTCGAGCTGACTACGCCTGCTACCGACAAGGAAGACGCGCCGGTTTCAGAGGCACCTTCAGAGCTTTATTGACTAGCAAGTAAGTACCTCTAGAAGGACCAGAACCTAATTGGCAACAAAACACATCTATGGTATAAAAAAACATCTTAAATCAGCACAGCTTCATACATATAATTAATAAATTTAAATTTACATTGCTTTATCGAATGAGCCAACCAACACAATAGTAAAAAAAGAAAAACTATATTTGCAACTCCACAATTAAATAAGTAGATAGATAACAATGTAAAAATAGATCGTTAAAATTAAGACAAAGCAACTAGTTGCACCTGCACAATAAATAACACATAAAAAAGAAAAAAAAGCACATTATATTTCACACGCTAAAAACAAAAGACAATCACTAATAGATTGTAATCCATCTTTCGGCATTAGGTCCTCCATTATACAAAATATTCGCAAAAAATATTAAATAAAATATGTAGTAAAATTGTTATTATAATAAGTAATAATGAGACGGATGCACAACATCGCTGCAATGCGCACGCTGATTATGAATAAGAGTCCTCTTGCAACTTGAAACTAGTAGAGTTTTTCTCGTTCAATCTATGTGGGTCGGTTTTTTCAACTGGTAAGTCTCAAGATTGTTAGATACTGTTCAAAATGTACCGAGTACTAGCAAAGATATTAATCAAAACTACTATATCTATGGAAAGTAATTGATAAAGACGTTGTTATAGCCAACTTATGGCAGGTACATGGTCCAACTAAATTATTATTAATTACTAGGTATTTTTGTGATTTTTACACATCAAGCTACCATTTTACCACCTATACCACTCGCGTACCAAAAGACCAAAAAATTATACTTTACTTTATTTGTTTTTATTCTAGGATACAAAATCTGAACTCAATAGTTCGTTACTCGGATCGTCATCTACCAGTTGTGAATACCCAAGGTGAAGTCTTGTTCAAGTCGTTTTCGGACATGTTCGATGGTAACGGAGCTTTAGCTGATGGAGCCAGAATATACAGCTTCAATGGAAGAAACGTTCTTACTGACTCTCATTGGTAAGCATATTTCCCATTTTAAAACACCCTTTCATTGATTCTTCTATATCTCTTTTTTTGTAAACTAACCAACGAAAATGTGATCGTCAATCCTTATTTTATCTACCTCAATATAGTCTCAGCTATTGTGTAAAGAACATTGTTTAAATAATTTAAATCTAATAAATTCATTTTATTGAAACAAAGGCTAAATATTGACGGATATTTTTCATTAAAATATTTATGCATACATACAATTTCGATATTACCATTACTTTCTTATTATTAGGCCACAAAAAGTAATCTGGCATGGATCCCGCTCTAATGGTGAAAGAGCCTTGGACAGTTACTGTCAAGAATGGCAGAATGGGGATCCTACAAGCCGTGGCCTTGGATCCGCACTACACTCCCATAAACTACTGGCACAAGAGAGGTAAGCCTACATTTTTACAAACCATTTTATTCTTATCAAAAAGTTCTATAGCAGAATAATAACCTTAATAGAAACTCAAATCAAATTGAAGAAAATCCTACATAACAATTTCACCATTATTTGATTTTAAGGATCGACACAAAATTTCCAATAACGAGGAAATGAAAATACAAAAATACATCAGCATAACAGGAAGAGGCTTCAAACAATGCTGCCCCTAGAATTTGAGTCTTAAACCGTCACCCAAATGTATTAGAATCCCATCCAACTTAGTATCGACCCCCTTTAATTGCTAAGTCACTCTGTTTACCAACACAGAACCTTGAGTCCTTACACCTAAAGTACGAAATACAAAATCACATTTTCAATTTAGTGACTTAAAACTTGGGATTCTCGCAGCCATTTTGATAATTCAATTTGAAACAGAAGTGAAATTTGTTAGAAGGGTTCAAGGAATTAGGAAACTTTAGTCGCTGCTAATTTTCCGCTGCTTGAAAAAAACAATGATGAAGTAAAAGGAAGGGTTTGTTTTAACTTTGTTATTTTAATTACAGATATCCTTGCAGTAGTCACTTTATTGTACTGTGCGTGGAAGTAGCGTCGGAAATAAATTCTCGAAGAAAACGAGAAACAATAAGGTAAGAAGACAGAAGAAGTTTATTTAGATAGAACAGAATTCCCGATGAGAAAAATATCCACAATATTTTAAGATAATTAACTAAGTAATTAGGAATCTGAAAAATGTACATTCGACACACAAAACAAAATACAAACTGGTTTTATGTGAACGGCACAAATAACAGAACACATATTTTAGAATATATGCAACTCTACTAATACCGAATAGCTATAAGAAAAACTTACTAACAAAATATATTACAGATACAATACGACGGGCATACTAGATGAAGACGACTACCTTTACAACGCAGAAGAATACCAACAACTACTGAACGAAATATTTGCTCAACCATTGAGAGAAAATTAATAGAGTGACGTCACCAATTGTCAGAGTCACGTCAGAATGCATAAACGGCTCATAAGATCCAAATCGTATAATTTGTATTGACGTTGTTTGCTATCGACAATTAATGTGAAAATGTAAAAAAATGAGAAGTGAAGGGATATTTAAATGTAAACTTTTGGCAATAAAGATTGGCAATTTAAAAAGATCTCTTCGCAAATAGATAATTTTTAAGGCAAACAGCCATTTTGCCATTGATAGCTAATTGTATAACAACTCTTTCGTTGTACGATCATTTATTTTCGAACGAATCGATATCTCTTTTCGTTACATTCTGTGTTGTCGAACGCCCTTTTCGAAAATATTTAGCCAAATTCTGAAATTGCGGGCGATTTTTAAAATGAGATTAATAAAAAAATAAGTCAGAGCTTGGTGTTTGTGAGATTCCTATTAAACTAAGCGTGTAAGCTTAAGCTACTGAAAGTTACTACATACCTACATTCGTATTACTGTATGTATAGTGAAATGTAATTAGTTTGCGCTTCATACTGCGCTTAGAGTGTTTGTAAATAAAATTTTTGTAAAATGTGTTGATTGGCTAATTTACTGAGTAGAATTACGAATCGTCGTATTAATAAAAGCAGAAGGTATATTTATTTGTATAAATTATTTTGAAGACATATTTTGTAAGTTTAAGTTATAAGAAAAAATGATTAACCTGTTTATTTATTCAAATAGGATATCAGCTATGTTGGGTTTTGATATGAAAAATATTATAAATTTTAATTTATAAGTGATTACCGAAATTCTAAGAGTGGGGCGATTCGTACTTCTACTTGAATTAATTCTAGTTTCTAGACAGAATACCAATGTTTGTGATTCTTTTCGAGATATTAATTCGAGACTGTATATACTTATTATTCGAGAAGATTATTTTATTATTTTAAGTCAATTTTGAAGTATTTCTTAGTAAATGTTAATGATTTAAATTCTTTCTATTTAGCTAAATATTTTTACTAAAATGTAATTGACTGATTTTTACTTAAGCACTTATGTAGTTTGATTTTTGCAGACATGACAACTTTAGCCATTCGAAACTAAGTTATTTAAAAAGGTTAAATAAATCGAGGTTTTGTCTACTTATCTATCTTTCCTACACATGGCTCCACAAAATTCTAAAACAAAACCTACGTGAACGGGATTTCGTTAGCAAATAAAAATCCCATTTGAATTCTCTACAACGAAAGCAAAATAAATTATGAGCGATAGAAAAATAATCGCTTTTATAAATCATATTCGTCTATCTCAATAAATACTCGTTTTAAAAATGCGTACCTATTCATATTTGCTTAAAAAAGTTTCTCAGTCGTCATGTCTGCATTTATTTCCAAATTTTGACAATAAAATCTTATATTTTACTGAATATATTCGAATGATATACATCATGTATCACTTTCTATATGACAATGTATTTAATGCTTTATTTAATATAATACTTATAATATTATTACTCTTGTAAGTGAAACTTGGTCCATATACTTGACTTCTAGCTGAGAATAGTATGGTCTTTCTTACCGCATACGTAGTATTAATGCCTTTTGTAATCTTTTTATCGATCTGATGCCACGAAATAAATAAAATTGAAGCTTATTACTTAAACTATAGCATACATTGTTGTATGTGTTATCGTGTGCAACAAACCCGAAGGACCAATTTGGTCCTTCCATCCAAAACTCGTGCCATTCGAAACAATACAATAAAAGTCTGATTTATTTGCTATACATACTTTGTATTTATACTAGAAGTAGAAGTAGTGATGTACCTTACCTGTTAATTTACCAGTAATTGTAATTTTTAATTTACTAGTCTCTCACTGTTTTACTGTTTTTGTAAGCTTAAGTAATGTAGAGAAAATGTATTAGCGAATTTAAACGTGAATCATTTTTGTCACTTGTAGCACGTTCGATTCACTTGTACTAAAGGCAATAAACATTTGCTAGATTTGTTTTTTTAATTCAGTAGTAACATAATAACAAATAATTTCGTAAAATATACACATACAAATACGTTGGAAAACGCCATTGTAATCAGCTACATGATATAGAGTAAAAAACAGTGAAACAGTTAAATTTGTATACAACATGACATACCAACAAGCATTTACGATATTGTTCGTTAGTCGTATCGCTTCACAACGATTTAAATAAAACAATTCGTGTATTATATTACAAACGACTGTATTTATTAATGTAAGTAAAAAAATAAATGTTTTCACGACACAGTAGACCAGGTCGTTTTATTTCAACTAAAATTGAACAATATAAACATACGGACTAGGCACTAATTCTCCAAAACCCTAAGCCTAATCTAACCCCTAAGCTCCAAAATTAACGGCCACGCACACGAACTCCTACGAAGTCCTCTGGTGTTGCAGGTGCGTCCCTAGGCGGCGCCGATTGCTAATATCAGCTGGTTGTTGGTGGTCCCTATATCACATACACATTTTCCAGCAAACATGATAAAAAAACACAAACAAGCCTGTTTTTTAATTACGACGTCAATTACGACGTCCCACGAAGGAATTAATTTTTTATTCCTTCGTGTGACGTCGATCAATTCTAAATTATGTTAGGTGCAAGTTTAGAAATGACTTATTGACTTTTCTCGACTACTAAATTTAGGTGGTATTGTTGTATGTTTTCGTACACGATAAAATAAAAGTCGTATCGAAAATCTTACATTATCCAACGAACTAAATATTTTTTTTTTTAATTTAGTAGTAGTATAAAAATACTTCAAGCTAGTGTAGAAAAGAAAATTACAATGACCGCGTATCAAAACCCCAAAAACATCGACTTGCAACGAAAAGCCAAAAAAACACAATGGCTTTATAATTTCGAGATGGTATAGACAATCCAAGCTATTGAAACGTTCTCTCTTGATTTGTGGCTGCAGCTTCTGTTAGCAACACGGTACGGAACTGCGATTGGCAGACTAATTGATTTCAACTCAAACGCAGTCAGGTAAGGTGAATTTTCGACGGGAAATTGTAAGGACTGTGTAGATTGGTAGAATTAGAACCGCTCGAAATGAAATTTATTTCATAGGATATATTTAGCTTTTCGACCGAGTTGGATAAAGTCGATTTTAGATTTACTTAGTTAGGTAAAGTACAATATTATTTACATTTCATTTTAATGTATATGTTGTATGTGTTGTCGGGTAATGTTTTTGATTCGTTTAATTTTTACTTAATATTCAACCTCTTCTTCGAAATATGATCCCGTTTCATTTGCATCTGGCGTCATCTGGCTTTGAAGCCTGGCGAGTAAATATGCGACTTTTTCGAGTTAATATATGTTAAATTATTTTGAGACATGAGGTGCAGGAAATCTATATTTCTAATTTCTAATAAAAGGATCGAAATCGTCTGTCTACCTTGAGCAACCCTGGTAATGGCAAGCCTCCGTGTGCGAATGCTCACCAGTGGGTTCTAATAGATTAACGATGTGACGTGTTGATGATCTAAATTGTATGATTGTGTAATTTTAGTATTTTAACTCCCTTAAGGTAGTTACCACATTCCAATATTTCGAAGTGGGTACTCCGTCGTTGTAGATTTATAGTTCAGTTTTCTGCTAGAAATAAAAAGGTGTTAGTCAAAGTAAAAGTCAAGAACATTTTATACAAACTAAATCATATGCGGGTACTTTTGAAACATCAAAATAGAACAATAGTTCGTCAGTCTGTTTGTCAGTGCTACTTCAAACTGTAGGTAGATTCAAATGGAGAAAAACGAGCAAGAAACCTCATAATACATAACGTATAATGTTATTTAACATTATTTAGTCACCTACGTAGGTACTATATAACACGAATTCACAGAAAACTACCCATTATATATTTTCATGTACCTAAGTGCTATGCAGTCTCAGTTTAAGAATGTTTACCCTTGTGGAGTGAAGTTTCTTATTTACCCTTACTTTATGCAGTACGTTACCTAAGACCCTCTTCTTACAACCTCCGTAATAGGAAAGATGTGACGACGCACTAAGGAATTTAAAATTTAACTACAGTTTGCCTTTTTTTGCAAACAGAAATATAATAATATTATTGAAGCTAAATAAGAGATTCTCAGGAAAAACAAGTTAAAAATAAATTATAATAACAAAATTTAACTAAAATTAATTAATTAGAATATTTTGTAATTAATTTTTATTTAACTAATTTTATTAATTACTATAAAAAATTCAATGAGAATAATAAAATTTAACTATAAAATTTAAATTTCGACGCCAAGTTGCAAATTGGTTTTACTTAAAAAAATATAAAATACAATTTTGGAAACGCAATAACAAATGGAACGTTCCAGATGTTTGTATAAGGCGTAATTTTTTCTCGTTGACAAACTTCGTCAATCGATGAGAAAAGTTTTCTTATTAAGGCGAAGACGAGACTGGCTGGGTGAGGGATTCCATCTAGAGATTCCATTAATGTTGCAACGACTCAGGTAACCGAATCGAGTTTTTTTAGTAATTCCACAGAAAAAGCATAGTAAAGTCGGATCTCATTTGAATCAATGGGAAGTTGGATTAAAATTGTACTACGCTGTGATTGAAGGGGACTTTTAAGAAGGTAACAAATACATTTTGTGTGATTTGAAGTCCATGAAAGATTTATAGACTTCATACATACATTTTGACTGCACGGCTGGCGCAGTGGCTGTACAACTTGTCGCGGGTTCGATTCACAACACACTTTGTGTGATCTACAAATTGTTGTTCACGGGTCTGGGTGTGTTGTGTATGTGAATTTGTATGTATGTAAACGCACTCACGACAGAAGAGAAAATCCTAGGGTAGGGCAATGTTTTAAAAAAAAACATACCTAGATACATTTTTTAAGCCTTTGACTGCCGACAAAACACTGTTGAAGGCAAATCCTCCGCTAACGGAGGTCACCGGTGACCTCCATGGCATTTAACGCCATTTTTTTTCTAATAATGTTATTGTTATTAAGAATATTAATATACCAATTCTAAGCTAAAACACACAGAGACTTATTTTTGGGATTTTCGACAAACGCCAATCGAATCTTTGTCATCATCTTTTAAGCTTACAGAAATCAGTCCTTGTGGCCAGCATTTACAAATCCAACGCGAATCGACAGTAATATTATAAGTACACACTCTTCAATGGTAGGTAACACACATAATGTTACATAATTATAAAGTTAACAAACACAATCTTCAGGAAAACGTTCTAAATACAAAAATATTCAAACATAGAATAGCACTTTTTAATTTCAAGGAAAGTAATCCAGACTAAAACGTTCCCTCACTCAAAGGTAGCTGTTTACAATTTCTAAATGTGGGTACTCTTTCATAAAAAGCATTTTTACCCTGACAAACACCCGAGACCCTGCAAAGAAGTATTTAAAATAATGCACTTCATCTTGATTAATGAGAGTAACAATAATATATTATGTGTGTGTTTTGTAAATTGGAGCACGGCGCTAAAGGTGAAGTAGAAAAGAGTACTTTTTAAAATACCAACTCTTCTCACGAGATTAGTCATAAGAGCTGACGACGGAGGCTGGACAGCAACGCTGTCTGATAAACTTGA